ATTCATCTGTTCTGAGGCTCTTTTTTTTTTGAGACAGAGCCTCACTCTGTCAGCCGTGCTAGAGTGCAGTGGCACAATATTGGTTCACTGCAACCTCTGCCTCTGGGTTTAAGCAGTTCTCAGCCTCAGCCTCTGAGTAGCTGGAAATACAGGTGCCTGCCACCACACCTGGCTAACTTTTGTATTTTTAGTGTAGCCAGGGGTTTACCATTGTAGCCTGGCTGGTCTTGAACTCCGGACCTCATGATTCACCCTCCTTGGTCTCCCAAAATGCTGAGATTACAGACGTAAGCCACCATGCCCAGTCCCAAAGAGAATTTTTTTAAGTCACTGGGTGGGTTTCTATGGAGGCATAACTGGCCATGAACTGTGGTCCAGGAAGCTGAAACTGAGTCGTTGAACTGCTTCTGGAATCACAGTAAAGGCCAAGGTCTGCAGGCCTGCCTACATGGCTATTAATTTTTATCTTCCTCCAGGCCTCTGTGCGCAAAGGGCCTCTCTCAGATGGTTGCTGGGAGGAGTTTGGATTGGTTACAGCGTAAGTTCACAATTCTCAGTGAGACCAAGTTGGGTGGACCATTTTCTGGTTCTTTAGCCAAGAGCAGAGGTCCTGTAATTTGCTACATTAATGAGTGTCTGCCTTCTGAAAAGAACACTCCTCAATTTTGGGCTTTAGCAGAGTTTCACAACTTCCTTCCTGGATCTCAAAGCTCTATTAAAGGCACTTATTTTTGAGATGGGGTCTTGACACTTAAACCAGCCTGGTCTTGAAATCCTTTTCTGCAACAATTCTTCTGCAACAGTTCTCCAACCTCAGTGTACAATGTAGCTGTCATTATAGGTGTGAGCCATGATGTCTGACTCTACTATGTAGACATTTTTGTCAGGAATGGCTGACAGATTTTCTTCCTCTGGTGGAATGAGAAAATAGAACACCTTTTTATTTTTTCCATCTTACTGATGTTACTATCCCTATACATTTCTACTTTCAGTTTCCTATTTTAAATTTGCCTGCAACATTAGATTCAGACATTTAGGACAATATGTTAGAATATACATGCTATGTGTGTGTTACAGAATCTTTGAGGTGCCAGTTTTTTTCCTGGAAACCTCTGTGATCAGTGGC